ATTTCCTCCCCGCTCTTTTCTCTGGGAGTCTCTACAGGCTTGTATTTTTTTTTTTAAAAAAGTTTATTTATTATTGTATCGTTTCTTTTATTTTTGCAGTGGGAGGGGGGAGGTAATTAGGCTTATTTATTTTTATAGGAAGTACTGGGGATTGAACCAGGACCTCATGCATGCTAAGCATGTGCTCTACCACTTGAGCTATACCCTCCCTCCTCGCTGTATCGTTTTTGGCCAAATTAGACACATGGCTGTTTTATGTTCTCCGTCCAAGCCGTTGTCCGGTAGCTCGTGGGGGTCTGTAATTTTGAGATGGGTGAAGCAGAAGGAATGTGATACTGACCCATTCATTTTAAGTCCAACTGCTTCACAGTTTGGTTGGTGCGTGGAGGGAGTTGCACGCTGTCTCAGTTTCCCAGGGAAAGGAACGCGGCTAAGAACATGACTTTGGTGTCCTGGGACTGGAGGTGCTAATACCAGCAGCCCTGCTTTCTAGGCCTGGCATGAGCACCATTTGACATGGGCAGGCCTCTTGTCCTGGGAAAAATGCCCCACTCCAAGCAGAGCATTGGATGAAATCCTGGAGCATTAATTCCTGGAGAACAACAGCTCTTGCATTAAACCCTGTGTTTTTCCTCCACGTGAAGGCAGTTACAGTGTCCTGCTGTGAGATAGAGTACTAGGCTGCCGATGCCCTCTGGTGGCCACATGGCAGTATTGCAAAAGGGAAAGAAAATTCACTGCGGGAGTTCGCTGTGACAGCAGCGGTGCGTACAAGTCACTTGAGCCGTGGGCCTGAGGGTGGAGAGTTCATGGTCCTCCTCTTGGTGTGAGTATTAGACGATGAAAATTCACGACCCATTCATCCAGCAAACTGGATTGTCTAATCCCAGCCCCGGTAGACGGCTGTCCTGTGCTTTTCGAGCAGGGACAGCTTCATTTTCGGATTACAAGAAGAATGCATTGAAACAGTCATTTTCCTGTATGAAAGGAATAGTTTAGACAAAAATTGTAAAGACCTCCTACTAATGTGAAAAGTGGGCCAGGCTATTGCGATAGAGGTTTAATAAACCGCTAACCAGCTACCGAAATGTTCCAATGCCCAGCACCTCTGATTGTAGTCTTGTTTGCCTCCTACGGTTTAGCAGGCTACTTTTGTAGATGGTACCATTTCGATACATTTCTTCTTTAACAGGGAAAGGGTACTCTTGTGTTAGACCTGGAGAGACACATCCCCCTCGTTGTAGCTGCGACTGGGGGACAAGTAGGGTGTTTCTGGCACTCCATGTGAGGTCCTGAGGAATAGCTGTGTGGTTTCCCAGCAGGGGTGTTATGCGTGGGGTGCAGCGTTGGGGCGGGGTTCATCCCTCTGCCTCTGGGCAGCTCTGGGGGCCTGGGCCAGCCCCGTCTCTTCTGTTTACCTGCTGTGCCCAGTAAAAATGACTTATGTGTGTGTGCCGGGAGTTGCAGTGTTGAGGGGCACTGCGTGAAGATATCCAGTCCAGTACTCAGCACCCTAGGCTCTTGGCCAGCTGGACTCCAGCTTTTTTTTTTTTTTTTTGAGAAAATTGTTTTAAGTAACCATTGTTAACTCAGCAGCCATTTTCAAAAGAAAACAACAAACATGCCCAAAACGGGGATTCCTATCAACCTTAGTAAGAACATCAAAATACTGAGGCAGGATGGTGTATATAGTGGGACAGCTATTTAAGGCACGCATGAGGCCTCACCAGTGATGTGATAAAAAGGAATCATCTTGTCATAAAGAAATTCCATCATCAAAAAACAAAATTAAATGAAAGAGTCCTGGGCTCTGGGCACAGGCAATCTGAGCTTGAGTGGCAGCTCAGACACGGCGTAGCGTGACTGGGGATTCACCTGGTGTGTGTGTGCTGGAGGGGACGTGTGTGTGGTCGGGGCCACGGAGCGACAGACACCCGGCATCAGCTGTGGCGGTTACTGCGTCTGCTCCCAGTTATTCTCATGTGGGTTTTATTTCTGTTGTTCCCTCTGGAAAGGGGAACGGCTCACGGCGTTTCCGCCAGTTTTATCATGGCCCTGCTTCGCAGTCTCCTGGTAATTCGTTCCACCTTTTGCGTCTCTTTTGCTTTTCTCTTCTTGAGATGGATTTTGTTACCCACCCTGCTCCCCCGCAACTGCCCCCTCCCAATGGGGCAAAAGGAACAGTTCAGGTTGTTTTCTGGGACCAGTTTCTTCTTTCTTATCAGTGTGACAGCAGAAAGGAGAGACTCGTTGTTAAAGGTGCATTATTTAA